GCGAAGAACAAAAATATCCGCAAGAAATATTTGTTTCTGGTGGTCAACATGGCGTTCGCTGATCTGTTCCTAGGAGCTTTCAGTTTACCTGTATACATTTACGATGTCGGGTATAACTTGCGCTTATGGACCAGCTCGGTTGGAAGCATATGGACCAACAAGCCTTTGTCAATTTTCTACATGATCGTTGATACAGCCTTATCGCAGGCCTCTCTTGTTTCTGCAGTGTTCATATCGTGTGAAAGATTTTACGCCATTCGTTGGCCGTTTAAGCATCGAACGTTATCGACCCAAGCATACCACATTGGCATTTTGTTAGTGTGGGTACTTGCTCTCCTTATTTCTGCCATCTGGACCGGTTCAAACCTTCTTTTTTCTTACAAGCACACAATGTTTATTTGGGGGCCATATACTTTGGTACTCATTTTAATCACATGTGGCTGTAATATTGGTATTTGGAAAAGGTTTCAAACTGGAACTGTGGCCGCTTCATATCAACAAAGCAGAGACTTACAAAACAAACGCTTAACAAAGACTTTGTTATTTGTATCTGGCCTTACTTTACTAGCTTGGTTGCCGTTACTTTTATTAAACCTCTTAATATATGTTTGGTTTTTCCATATACCAAGACAAATTGATTATATGGTGAACCTTGTCAACTACTTCAACTCTTTTATCAATCCAATTGTTTATGCATTAAGAATTGCCGAGTTTCGGCGAGCGCTGGCTTTATGTTGTACACGAAGACATGTACAGACACCTGCCAACACAAAGCTTACTAAAAGAAGGAAAGAGAAGTACAAAACGACTGAGTTTATTCATGAACTGGCATTTGAACAAGATGTTATGGATACCAAACTGTAAAATGCATCATTCAACACGAGAAACTAGATTGAAATAAAAATAACCCTTAGTAAACGAGCAAAACACGAGCTTAATGTTTTAAAAAATAAGCAAGTTGAGTTCTTAAAGGAAACTGTGGTGCTGCGTCGGTGGGGGTAACAAGGTAATTTGGTTATATCAACTAATTGGCCACCGTAAAGGGTTAATATATGCAGAAAGTGGAGCTACGCTAAAGCCACGCATATAAACCCACACACAACCCACAATTCCTCCATTTGCTCTAACCAAGGGCTAACCCTCGAAACGTCAGCTTTTTAACTCTGTAGCCAATTTACAATTTCAACTTAGTTGATATAACCAAATTACCTTGAATATTTTAATGTCTGGAAGTTGAAGTGAAAAGCTAATAATACGTCTAAAGTTATGAAAACGACAATGATAGTGAAGCTTCGATGGTAACGAGAATAAATCTCGTACGTAACTTACTTATAGAGCTCTGTTCCTTATACTCTTCAAATAAATGAGACATTTAATTAGGCACGATTCTTCAGCATTTCAATTAAAGACATAGAAGAGACGGCGTCGTCTTCATACTTACGGCTTTCTGCATTTAATTATCTCAAAGAATGTACGTTGAGAAAACTTGAAAAAAAAAAAAAAGAAAAGAAACAGAGAGGCCTGCGACAACTACTTCAACCCTTTTATCAATCAAATCGTTCATTAAGAATTGCCGAGTTTCGGCAAGCACTGGCTTTATGTTGTACAGGGAAAAATGTACGGGCAACTGTAAACACAAAGCTTACTAGAAGAAAGAAAGAGAAGCACGAAACGACTGAATTTAGTCTTGAACTGGCATTTGAACAGGACGTTATGGATGCAAAATTGTGAAATACATCAAACACAACTCAACTGAAATGAAAATAACCGCCCTAAACAAAACACGAACTCAATATTTTAATGTCAGGAAGTTGAAGTGAAAACCTGATAAGGTTTTAAAAACTATGTAAATGACGTCAATGACAGTGTTAGGTATAATACTAACGATGACATATGATAGATTACTTACTTATACAGCCCTGTCTTCAACACTCTTCAATTATTCGGCACCATTGTTTTGCGTTTCAATTTGAAGTTTTGTCTTTATACTTACGGCTTTATCTTCTTCTTTATCTCAAAGAATGTAAGATTGATTGGAAAAAAAAAAAAAAGCGGATGAGTTCTTTTTTCAGTAGTCACCATGAATGATGCAGCATATTAAAATCAATAGCTTGTGCTTGGCGTATGATAACTTTTCCTCGTACTGAATATCATAGGTGACAATTTACTCCTTAATTTTGGCGCGAAATTTCAGCGTTAATTTTTAATTTCACAAGTGAAATTACAAAATTGCCATTGTAACATCTCTTGTATCTCGATCAGAGCCAAGATGGCGTCGAGATTTCAGACGGCGTGACAATTTACGGCGACCCTTGAAGAAGTTACGAAATTAAAAGAAGCGGCCGAAAATTATTAACAGGCACGAAGAATTCGAAATTTTTTGTGAAGAAACTCAGAAAATTACGAACTTTAAATATAATGTATGTTTTAAACGAAAACTAAATTCTTCTTCATGTTCTTTGTCACCAAGATATTAAAAGGTAACCAAATGGTTTTCTCGTTAAATTAGGAAATAATTTCACTTGCGTTTTGTCAAAATTCTGATAATTTCTTTCGCCTAAAGGCTCGGGAAATTATCAGAATTTTGACAAAACGCGCGTGAAATTATTTCCTAATTTCACTCGTAGCCATTCGATTACACATACTAATCATTCAATTTGTCCAAAATGTCTTTAAGTTTGTGTCGGCTGTTTCTCGGTCAAATTAACATTCCTATTTCTGGTAGAGTCCTATAAGCTTCAGAGTTGATAGCCTGCCGAACAAGCGTAACTTTTGTTGCGTTTTTTCAGACAAACAAGGCGAGCGCGAAGCGCGAGTCACTTACTATGGGAGGGGCACACACACACGCATACGCACACGCACACGCAAAAATAATAATTTTTTCTTCCTTCCTCCTCACGGAAAAATGCTTGCGTACTTATAATATTCGATGAGGACTTTTCATTTCTCATTAAAGATATTGGACATTGATAGAAAAGTAATCAAACACATTTTAATTTAAATGATGCAGAGTCAGTAATAGTAAAGTGTTTGAACAGCTGTACCAAAGATGTTCGCACGAAGACTCCTTGTAGTGAAGGGTACGATCACGAAAGAATCATTTTTTAAACAAATGGACGCTATGCTACCGTGTATAAGATCAGTATACGATCATACACGACGCGATCAAAGTGTAGTAAGAACAACAAAGTGGCACACGAGATGCAGCTGAACGTGTCACTGAACTTCTTACCACATTTTGACTTCCTCTGTGGTCTATCACAGTAGAGACCCACGGCAACATGGAATCTATTTGTTTTATCCTTAGTTTTATGTGATTAAAAAATCAAATGTTGTTAATGGTGAAGCCATCCTTACGTCTGTCAAATCATAAGGGAGCAAATCATTGTGTCCAAAACTGACGCATGTATCATCCAGCTTATCACTTCAATATTTATATGCACTGTTTAAACTTCGTAGTCATCAAAACAGTAATTTATGTTCATTTTCAAAGTCTTTACCCCTCCCCAAGAGAATATCAACTGATATTCTCTTGGAGTAATTCACATTGAAACGTAAATATCACTATTTCAAGGACTGACGCTGAGACATGTGCAATAAAGTTTAGGTTATAAAGCCATAAAACCTCCTAACTGAGGAGGAAAATTGACCTGAAGTCGAGAGATGTCAAGTATACTCAGCAGAAAACCATTTCATAAACGTCTGAGAAAAAAAAAATGGTGATTACCGTCAGATAGTGTTCAAATGTGTGGTGGGTCTTTATGTTTGAGGTTGGGAGACAACGAATATGAACGAACAGATGTTCCGAGCTGTTCAAAAACGTCCGGTAGGGTGGGAATGTAGACTAAATAAAAAACCTTTGAAAACTTAACGTTTAAAAATCGCCTCGAAAGGCTTGAATTTGCTTGTACACTCGCTGAAGGCGACGGAAGGCTCCAAAGAAAGCTTATTCTCAGATAAATTATTTCAATACGTGAAAAAATGGCATAAGTAGGGAGAACTTTTGTACTCTTCACCAGTTACGAATATTTAACATCTTCAAGAATGATGAGATTGCCACTGAGCGAGTTAGGGATTGCTTGGAGACTATCAAGAAACACAGTTGCTAGTGTTTGGCTTTCCGAATTCAGCTTGGGACACTACAAAGTTAAAAGTTGAAGAATTATTCAACCCGGAATGGCGTTTTTAACGACGTTATGAAGCTAAGTAAAAAAAGAAAAGAAAGAAAGCCGGAAAAAACAGCTTAACACTTAAATGCAATGCAATTCAACGTACTATATTGAGGTTTTTTGTGCATAAATTTACCTCCCAGAATTCACGCAGAATCAAGTACTTTTCTTCGGTTACTCCGATTTCTGTTGACTTGCGCAATAGAATACGGCGAGAAGGGGGGTCTCCTCGAGAGCCAAGGGTGGTCTTCTGTGCTATAAAGGTTGTCGCTTAGGGCTTCAGTTTCTTTTGTGCATAATTTCGCAGAAATTTTCATTGGTGGGTGAGATTAGCAGTGAGAGCCCACATGGAGATTTTCTAGCCACGCATACAGGCAAGAGCTAAGAGATTATGTCACTTCATGGCGCTTTAGCCCGGTGCAGAACTTATGACCATCCGATTCCTTCTGATCCTCTCTCTCTCTGTTGAGATCAGAGCTGCCAACCCTCAAGAATAAAATTGACTGGATATGTGCCCAAAGGCGCACTATACTGAAAAGCCTTTCGTCGTCAGCTTTATTTTATACTTAAAATCAGTTTGGGCTTTCTCAGTTGAACTGGGAGATTTCAGTTCTTCGCTGGGAAAAAAAAAAATCGGGAGTCTCCAGGCAGAACAGTTAGGGTTGATAGGTCTGTGAGATAAAGGAGATTCCTCGCCCACTCCATGAGTATTTATTCTCCAATATTCATTTATTCATTTCATTATTTCTCTACTGTATCTGGAATGATTCTCACCAGCGGAGTTACCAGTGGTAAGGTAAGTAGGTCGTGGTAACCCTGGATAATATATTGGCCCCAGTCTTCGTTACGGAGGCAATAAATTCAAGATGGCGGCGAATTTGTAAGCACTGTAATGTCTGAAAACCTGAGTCATGCTGGGGACTCTGAGGGTGATACAGATAACCTGGAACTTGTTCAGGAAATCTTTGGTAATATGTTTGTTAACTGTGCTTCCTCTATTATAAAATATGCTCAATACGAGACAAACAAACTTATACAGCACGATACAAATTATCTGTTCGTGACCTTAGCCATGCAAAATAATTTTTTTTATGAAACGACGGGGAGAAGAGGCTTAAAACCCTTTGATTCCCAGGATTTAGCGAGCATGAATATCTCCACAAATTTAACACGTTTTAAAGCTGAAAGGTGATGAGAAGAGAAAAATTTATCCGCTAGGATATAGTTTGATGACCTGCAATATTCTAAGATCTAAAATTATGCGATGAATTACAATGAATAGATTACTCGATATTGATATCTTGGGGGTGAAATGGCTAAGGAAACAGAATTCATAACACTTCCCTGTATTTGAACAAAAAACAAAGCAAAAAACAAACAAAACAAAAAAATCGATTTCCCATATTGAGGGCTTGCAAAACTGAGCCACACAACGGATAAGTTTTTTTTTTCCCTGTTTACTCAGTAAACAGTTCACTTGAACTTAATATTCAACTTCTTGCAACTAATCTGTTATCTTTTTCGTTTTAGATATTATAAAGGATGTTAGGGTGAGTAGAAAACAGTGACTGATATAATACTTCATATGAAATAAAATTTAATTAATTTGAGGCAAAATACCTACCCTCTCTCACTGATCCAGATCAACAGACTTACAGACCACCATTTAGCCTTTGAATCTGTGAATCAGCTATAGAACACAAGGCTCTTGAGATGCATCTGGTCAGCTTCCTTTGGGTGAATGAGGAACTAGTTGCTTAACCCTTTTTTCTCCCAAGATCATATCAGTAATTCTCCTTACTGTCTGCCATACAATTCTTATGGTGTTAGTGGGAAGAATTTGGTACTGGATCAACTAACAATTGCCCAAGTGATATTTTTCTTTATTCTATTTATTACCTGTTTGGTTGATGTTGTATTCATATTGTAAGGAGAAATTATTTTAGTCTTGATCACTCATAGGAGTCAAAGGGTTTATATACTGTTTCTTCCTTGTATCAGTCAGATAACCAGCTTGTAAAACAGCAATTCATTTTCTCCTAAAGAGAGACTGATATCTACCTGACTTTTGCCAGAGGGCATGATTCTGCTGTATCAAAACTCCAATTTTGCATTTTGCACCAGCTCAGGCCTTCTATGTCTCATCTCTATTAAGGAAACTAGTTAATACTTAGCCTCGACGGACTGGTTTTCTCAAAATGTGCAGGGTAAATTAAGCTTGAAGCAATTGTTGAAAAGAAATGTCTTTGGAAGTGATCACTCTTACCCAAAGTTGGATGATATCAGGGAGAGTACTAAAGAGGGTGTTGTATTGGAACTCTTCAACCATCTACAGAAATTTTTGAAAAATCATAATGATTGGAAATTGGGGCTTTTTAGATTTGAATAGGTTGCCATGCAAATTCTCTCACACTTTTGATGAAAGAAAGACAATGAGCATTATGGAACGGTACCCTCATTTAACCCTTAACTCTCAAGATCTGATTGTTTGCCCTCCCATCTAGCTGCTACATATTTCCTTGTAAATTAGTTATGAGAATATGATATTAGATCAGGATAACTTTTACTGGATAAGTTTGAGTACTTCCATTACCTGTTTGCTGGGTATTGTATGGATTTTATTTGGAGAAGTTTCATGGTTATCACTTGTAGGTAGTAAACAGTTAACATTATCAGTGGTCCTGTTCCAAGCAGGTTGCTCATTTAAAGTTGGGAATCAATTGGAGCATATATATATTACTGGTTCAAGACTCATTGCTGCTTCAGTGATAATTATTAAGTAGTTACTGTATATATTTCTTTTCTTGATACAGGACCCTGAGTTACCTCAAACTCTGGAGGAGCTGAATGTCATTGAAGAAGAATATATCCGAATTAACAAGTTTGGAGATGATGAATATAGCATACAAATAGAATTCAAACCCACTGTTCCCCACTGTTCCCTTGCAACCCTCATCGGTGAGTTACCCACTCTTGAATTTTGTTGTGCATATCAGCTATATGATTCCTCTCCCATGGTAAGATGGGTTACGGGGTGAAGAAGTATGCTCCAGAAATGATAAAATTTTATTCATATATTAACTAGGAGAATCCTAAATGGTTTTTGATTGGTATCACTTATGATTTATAGAAGGAGAAATGCATAGATGACATCATCATTGAGTTTTAATGGCATCTTTTTTTTAGTAAGTTTTTTTTTTTTGTATTGAACAATTAGATTCCATGTTGCTATGCCTTGATACTACTTTTTTGTTCTCAGCACATTTTCATGTCATCTGTGCTCTACAGTGTATTTCAGAACAGACAAACAGCAACATGGAATTTATTGTTCAATCCACCATTATTTAAGCATAATTTGCAATTATTACACTGACTATTAAGAAGTAACCTAACCTTCCAAACATTGTCTTAAAATGTACTATTAATTTGACCCTGGAGGTTGCCATGGCAAGACTAATAATCAGCCACTGTTCTTTGACAGGACTATGTTTGAGGGTTAAATTGGAGCGTTCATTACCTTACAAGTTTAAGGTGAGCTTTGCTAAATCTTGTTTTTGTAATTATAGCAGAAGAGAGGTAGTGATGAAAACATGTGACCAAAACAACCCTTTGCCCAACATATCTTAGTTAATTATGTGACCTTCATAGTGTTATTTCAACATAAGAAAGTGTTAAATGAGGCAAAATCATTAATTCAAAAAATTCAACGAAAAGCTGGGAATAAAAACTACTAATCAATGTAATATTACTTCGCTCTGCTTAGATTCTCCTTATTGGTTGATCACATTTTATAAATTAATAAACTTCAAGACACAATTGCAAGAAAAGAGGACATCAAAGGAAGGAGTGTGTCCTATCAATGTGAAGTATACTTTGGGAAAATTCATTATTTGACGAGGGAATTCCGCATTAAATTGCAAAACGGATATTACACAAATCGTGAAGTGATGAGTGTGATATTGGTTTGTGAGTGCAATTTAATGCGGAATTCATGAGTCAAGTAATGGATTTTCCTTGAATCACATGATTGAATAAAAATAAGAAAAAAAAGAAAACAGCATTACTTATAGTTGTTATGTATACGTAGATGTGAAACAATATCACTTAGCCTTGTTTTCGACTTGCAATTCCAAGCTAAATACCTCACTTTGTGGAGGCGGCATAGCTGAATGGTTAAGGTGCCGGACTTGTAATCCGGTGTCCCAGGTTCAAGTCCTCCACTCTGCCAGTCACTGGATTTGTTTTTGGTTGCCCCTGGTTCAACTCCTCGGCTGCGCTCTGTAAATAGCCCACAGTTCTGCCTCCTGCCAGTGGGGATTTTTAAGCACTTAGTTAGTTTACATTGTGGCTGAAAAGTGCCAAAGGGGGAGCTTCAATTTACATATTTATTTATTTATTTTATTTTCTTAATCAAAATGTGAGATTTTATTCAGTGATGCGACTCTGCCAAATACAATTTTTTATTGTATAAACTGGGGTGTTTCAAACGTTGAAGAAAGCTCTAACTGCACACACAAAAATTATGGTAATTTTTTACAAGTGGCTGATATCGCCAATCAGGTGCTTTCATGTCACTTGCCTTTTGTGCCACTCTATCCATTTGATGAATAAATAGCAAAGCATTCAGCATTCCCAGTTCAAGGTCATTTGTTGAATTTTCCTTTCAGTAAAGGTCTATGCTGTTTATGTTGGCTTGACTTCGTGAGCGAAAATTAAAAAGGTTGTCCACGTTGACATCGGCTGCAGGCACATTTGTGGCTGACCAGACCGATGCGGGAAAGGCAGATCCGCGGGCAGTATCTGCAGAGCAAGGTGGTCTCAGGAGTGAAGGTGGAGGCGGCCTGGGCTTTCCTCCTCTGAGGCTTGTCTTTAAGTACCTCACGTCTATCCTTCTCAAATTGAGCAGTGGCTTGGTTGATTGTGTGGCGCCAGGTACCACGGTCTGTAGCCAGGTCAGACCACTCTTTGTGGTCAACGTTGCAGGTGCTGAGTGACTTCTTTAGGCTGTCCTTGAACCTCTTCTTTGGAGCTCCTCTCTCACGATGTCCGGTTGAGAGTTCACAGTACATGACATTCTTAGGTAGGCAGTGGTCTGTTGTCTATTTCCTTGTCCATCTTAGCGTTGGATGAGATGGTGCAACCCAAGTCGGTAAACTGCTGGACTGATTTCAGTTCTGTGTTGCCTATGCTGATGTGGGGAGGGCGGTATTCTACCTGAGGGGCAGGCTGGTGAAGGACCTCTGTCCTTTTGAGGCTGACCTCAAGGCCAAACAGCTGTGAGCCATCTGCAAAGCATGATGTAATACGCTGAAGAGCTCGCTCAGTGTGAGCAACAAAGCCAGCATCGTCTGCAAAGAGAAGATTTCGTATCAGCCTCTCCTGGATCTATTTGTGAGCACGGAGTCACCGTAGATTGAAGAGGCTACCATCCAGATGGTACCTGATGTACACCCCTTCGTCAACATCCAAGTCCACAGTAGCTTGCTTAAGCATCATGCTGAAGAATATGCTGAAGAATATGCTGAAGAATATGCTGAAGAGGGTCGGTGCCAGGACACAACCCTGCTTCACGCCGTTGGAGATAGGAAAGGGTTTGCAAAGGTCACCATTGAGTCTGACCTGGCTGCGTTGGTTCTCATCCAGCTGGATAACCATCTGTAGAAATTTGAGAGGACAGCCAAGACGTTTGAGAATAAGCCATAGACCAGACCTACTCACACTGTCAAAGGCTTTTGTAAGGTCAACTAAAGTGACATAGAGTCCTTTGTTTTGTTCACGGCACTATTCCTGGAGTTGGCGGAGGACAAACACTATGTCTGTCATGCCTCTATTGGCTCTGAAGCCACACTGGCTCTCGGGGATATTTTCTTCGGCGATGGTTGGTAGGAGCCTGTTAAGCAGGATCCTGGAAAGTATTTTGCCAGCGACGGAGAGTAGTGTGATGCCTCGGTAATTGGAGCACTCAGACTTTACACCCTTGTTCTTGTACAGGGTTATGATAGTAGCATCACAAAGATCTTGTGGCAGCTTGCCCTGCTCCCAGCTGCTCCCAGATGAGGAGAACGTGAAGTTTGTTAAGGAGCGCCGGACCCCCATTCTTCCAGATTTCTGGTGGAATGTCATCAACTCCTGCTGCTTTGCAACTCTTGAGTTGATTTATGACTACACTCAGTTCATGGAGGGTGGGTTGTTCATTGAGCTCCTCTTTGAGTGAGAGTTGAGGAACACGATCAATAAGCAATAAGCAAAATAATACATGGTTTTGTAGGTATGGAATTTCTCTTCAAGTGTTCAACAAAATATCACATGAGTCAATGCAGCAAATGGGGAAGAAATTGAGCTGAACACAAAAGGATAAATTCCATATTCACAGGCACCCTTGTATTGTTATTTCCTATTCATTTTGTTGGGTCAAGTCTAAGGTTATAAAATAAACTTGATATTTTGTTCCTACCATCCAAAAGATGAGTAAGTTCTTAAGAGTAAATTGTCAGTAGTTCAAATTCTGATTACGTATTTCAAAAATGCTTTTTTCGTCTGTGCAGCTTGACATCTTCCTTTCCAAGGGAACTCATTCAACAGAGAATGAAAGTATGTTTTAAATAGATATTAATACATGTATAATGTTAGCCATTGTGTGAAGTAAATTATTGGAAAATGCAGACATCAGCCGTATAAACAAATTAATGTATTGTACCAACATTTTTTAAACAAATATCTCTTCAGGTTAAAATTATATTCCTTCTTTATTTTTTATTTTATTTTGGGAAAGTACTTGTAGTCACTTTTATGTCTGGTTGCTAGTCTTATTTAAGCTATGAGAATGTTTACTTAGTTACCTCCAGTTACTTTATCTCCCAGATGTTGTTTCATCCCTTTAACTTCTCCATGCAGTAAGATATATTATTTGTAAAATATTTTATCTCCTCAGTCAACAAGCAGATAAATGATAAGGAACGCATAGCAGCAGCAATGGAGAACCCAAATCTAAAGAAGATTGTTGAGGAGTGTATTTCCAGTGAAGATGGATAAATTCCAGTCAGATCTAGCGTACTTTTATAAACTTTCATGTAGAACACGCTCAGTGCTACACAAAGAACCTTTAAATGTTTGAACTTAGAATGGATTATCCTGCAGGATGTTTTAACTAAACGTTTTGCCAGTGAAGACTAGTAAATAGTCCCAACACAAGAAAACATCCAGGAAGGCTGTGCATCAGTTTGTACAATAATGATCACAATTCATACACAATCATTTCAGACAAAATTATGGGTTTTTTTTTAAACTCATATCAACTAACAGTCATTCCATTGAAGTCTTTGAAAGACTTTCAGTAAGTGATATTAATAGTAATGAAAGAATTCATTTCTCTTCACTTGAAAAAAAGTATCCTAAAAGGAATATTTACAGAATTACTTAACAAAAACAATAACAACCAGAAGATAATCTGCATTTAATTATGTTTGAAAACATTTTCAGAATGCTACAATTTATTCATGGTACTTGTCATTTAAAAAAAAAGAAGAGACAACGGTCAGGAATATATTGAAAATTGAGAAATTTTGAATATATAAGTAGTTTATTTTAAATGGGGAGAAGAACCAAAGGTTACTTGTGGAGTAATAGCATTTGATCATCTTTATAATTGTAATTTGCCCAACTCAAGCCCTCAATTATTAAATATGCAGCTTACTGTCCTTTAATCTATGTATACAAAGTTTGTATGTTGTATGGAGTTGCTAAATGGTGAAACTTTTTTACTTCACTTTTACCAACACTTATGGATAAAGGTCTCTGAACAGTTTGAATTTCTTACTTTTCTTCTCTTTTCACTGAGAAAACAGGCAATGGAAACAGGTTATCAATGCTTGTCTTCTACATGAAAACAATTCTTTGAGACATCACTGATAATAAGCCATCTTGCAAGAGTGGTTGAGAACTCTTCTTCATCCTTTCCCTGAAGCATTCTGCTTCTCAACACCACTTCACTTATTGATGGATTTAGGGCTGAATGGGGTTCAATTCTGGGAGTAATCAGGAATGTAATTTCAAACTGGCTGAGTGCATAATGCAAGGCAAGGTCACTTTCAGTTTCTATTATGAATGGAAAAGACGTTCGTGACACTGTGGCCATGTTGAGTTCTTTGAGATGAAAGCTGTGTTCTTACACATTTAACACATTTAACATGAGTTTGGATGTAAAAAAATCAAGCTTTTTATTTGTAAGAATTCAAAATGGATGTTATGCGGTGAAACATGTTTTGTCCATTGGGAGGAAACTGACCCTGAAAGCAACAAGTCAACAATGAAAATCATTTCATTTTCTACCAAGAGATGAGATCACACAGTTTGACAGAAACCAATAATTTAATGCTTTACAGGCAAACATCCATCAATCAATTTAAAATTCCATGATCATTCCAGACTTGTATTTTGGTCTTGTGGAAGACTAACATAATTATTATTAATAGTGACTTTTGTTAAATCAATTGCGTTACTTTTTCTAAAATCCAACATATTCTTTTTGGTTCACATCAGAATATTGCCCCTGCATATAGGCCAGACTAAGTAGAACTGCAGTTATCAAGGAACAAGATTGCACTACAAGACTTGAGCAAATTTTTAATGGCCTTAAAGGAGCAGCTCAGTTGGCAGAGCTATCTCTGTGGCAGTTAAGCCTTTAAAGATAAACTGGTTATTGATATCGATACATGCAGCCAAATTGAAATTGCACTTCTTGCAGACTTTGCCTGCTTGTACCTCACACCCCTCCAAAGAGTTTGTTCCCACCCCTAATACATCCAAAGACATCCAAACAAAAAATTACCATCACGGTGCTTTTTCTGGAACTCTTCATGAAGCTCAATTCCTAATTTAAATAATTTGCTTCAGCACAAGAAGAGTTCAAACCCAGATTAGTTCTTGATAACACATGCAAAGGTCGATGGCATAGTGGAACATTTTTATCTTCTGAGCCATCTTGACAAGGCACCCAGTGCACCATCAAAGGTCCTCAAAGCTGGATGTGTTCCGTGATAATTCAACATTAATGTTCCTGCCTCACCCCAGTGGCCAGCGGCCTGTAACTGGGAGGCAACCAGTTTGACTCGTGCACCTGCATGAGATAATTCAGTTGTCTCTTCAACTGCCTCAGTGTCCACAGGTCCATCAGGGTGGCTGGTAACATAGCTGATCAGAGAGGTTAGGAAGGGTGTTTTTGCAACATCTGCTGTTAGGCCAAGAGAAATAATAAGTTCCAGGAGTTCATCATCATAGGAATTTGAGTTGGCCTGCAAAGATAACAGCACTAAGGTTTAAGTTAATTTATTATGAGGAGGAAGAGATTTCCAATTGGGAGCTTTTCTTATGCTCTGCTGAAAGCATTACCAGAAGCTAATGACCTAAGCTTCTGGCATAACCTATTTCCAAGCCATTGTTAGTAGAAATCCATTGCAGTTACATTCAATCTAAAACATACCAAAGTGCTAGGCAACTAAATAATTATACCACTCGCAAATCTTTCATTCTGTGGTAAACAAAGACGTCACAGTATCTCCAGAACTGAAAGCCAAACTATTGGAAATAGGTGGGGTGAAGCAGGATGGAAGGGGCTAAAAAAAGGAAAAATATCTTACAAGAATTTGAAAGGCAGGTAACACCAGTCCGAAGAAAAAGTAAATTTTTAATTAGGACTAACATTTTGAGCTGGGGGTTTTGTTACAGTGTAGGGGCAAAATTAGAAGTGATAAAGTGGGCAGTAAAAACATCTTTACAGGCATAAAACCAAAAACTAAATAGTTGCCCTGCCCTGAGTGAGCACTGGTTGTCCCACGGACATAGTTCAAACAGCAGGATTGGTGTGTCTTGAGATTCAAAATTTAAGCCTTGGTTTTGACTTCACTAAAGTGCATGTGTAATAGGGCATACAGGTTGTTGTTTTTTAATGGGATTTCATGGAGGTGTAAGGCAAATGTGAAGGTGAAAATAGTTATGAGCAGGGAAGTTTGCAAAATTGAAAATGAAATCATTTGTAAAATAAAAATAATTCATGCATTGAAGTAAAGTAAAATCTTTCATTATCAAAAGAAAAACTCCTAAAAGTTATTTTAGTTCTCATCAATCATGTCTTGAATGAAATACGTTTACTGTTCATTTTTACCTTGAGACTCTTCATGTTTTCTAATGCAAGGTGATGCATAGCTTCCATCTTTGAAACCAAGGCAAATTTCAATGCATAGAGGGTTTTGCACTTAAGCAACATCAAATTGTACACATGAGAGCAGCACTGAAAATAAAATTGCACTTCAATAAGCAAAAACAAATTGCTACACAAAGTTTCCTCCATTTTGTATTATCCTCAAGTAAGTGCTATGATGCTTCTTTAAAATTTTGGCCAAAGAATGGGTGCTTATGGATTGGAAGGAAGGCACATAATCAAAGAAGTGATGGGAAGGGGGAGGGGAGGGGTGATTAAGATATTGGAGCAATGGGACTAAAAATTGAAAGAACATATGTTGTGCATAGGAACATAAGAACTCTACAATTACATGGTGATAGAAATAACTTGGAACAGAAGAGAAACAATCCTCCTGTACTGATTCCACTGTAGTCAAAGTTTGATTCCACTGAAGAAGAAAGTGACATAAAAACGAGTTGCTTGTCTCCCCTGCTATTTTGGAAAGTGATGGAGGAGGGAAGGGGAGGGGCTGTTATTTGGGGGCGGGGGTGGGGGCTTATTAGAGCATAGGTGCTTATTTGAAGAGAAGTATGGTAATTCACACTGAGCTGTGTGGCAATACCACTGAACATGGTTCCCAAGAAAGGAAGTAAATTTGAGTGAAATGTTTTTGCACCCAAACATCTAAAGCTTTACCTCTATGGTGAGACTTGTTGTACGGCAGAGCTGTTTTAACATGTCAATCACACTCTCTCCATCACCATGACATCGAATAATTTTGTCCATTAGTTGCACCCAAGGGTTTGCTGATGGTTCCTCACTGAAAATGAAAATTAAAAAAAAAAAGTTATTGCAAGACATACACAGCTTATTGAAAATAAAAAAAAAAACATGTCAAAGGACCTTAGACTGACCACTTACTTGAGTTCTGTAGCTGCAAGAACAGGCCATATCTGCAAGAGGGTTCCCAAACAAAGCAGCTGTGAGAGAGAGAGGCTTTCACTCAAAAGAATCTCAAACAGTCGGTGCCTCTTAGTATCACTATCAATGTCTTCCAGTATAAGCTGTATAGAGACACATAAAATAAGAAATCAAAATCAGTCAGCTAAATTTACTGATCAGGTGACATTTTGCATGTGATGCTTTAGTGTGGTTTACAGTGCCTTCTTTGTTGTTTTCCCAACAACCATTTTAGGGGCAGAAACTTTGAACTGTGGAGTGAAATAAAGAGGTCTTTTGTATGGTAATCTTTGAAGTTTAATTCCTCACTTTTTTATCCAAACAATATTCCATCTGCATTTCAGACATAATATTTGTGATTGGATTCCTTTGAAGAGAACAAAAAAGCTGTTAAAGTTTTCACAACTCCCAAAAAGTGGCTCCATAACTCAGTTGGGGGTGGCACCCACCCAGTATCTGGGAGACAGAGGTTCATTTCCCATTGAAGCCTTGATGTTTTAGGACTTTTTTTGCAATGACTTTAATTGCAGAAGAACAATTTATCGCTTGTAAACAAAACAGTAGTAATGCATTAACAGATGACAAGTCACAGGAAAACTAACAATATTGTAGACAAATGGTGTTAACTAGGTAACTGGGCTGCACATACTTAGCTCATGATGTAGAGTGCTGTGAGGGTACGAGTGAAATGGGCCAACAAATTCCAAGAAATGAATAAACAAATAAATGAGCAAATTTACTCATAAAATCTTCAATGGCATAGGCTACCTTTCTGTTCCATGTTGACGACACAATGGCATCAGTTTGATAAAATATCAAAAGAAATGTGTCTTCTCCGCTGAGGTCAAAGGACTCTTCCATTAACTGAAGAACTTCAGTCTTTATTGCAGCAGGCACAGCTACATCTGCACAGAAAGGTCGTAAACACTCCAATACATCCTCTTGATTGGTCATTGTTCCTCCCTTTTCAACATGCATGCTTACTGTCTGAAGAATTGTCCTTAAAACATCAATGGGTCTCTTGTTGCCAAGCCAGGGATGAGAAGATTTTGTTGTTTCACTAAAAATGAAAAATAGAATCACACCAAATTAGACAACCACCCTATATAACCTTAAGAGAAGTCACTTTCTTAGTGAACATGTAAATTATTTATTAAATGAATAAAGAGGGTTCCAAAGGAAACTGTGGAGCTGTGTCGGTGGGAGGTTAGCAAAAGTCTTATAATAGACTCTGTGATGTGTGCTAAACATATCCTTACTCAGGGGTGGATTTTGAAGACTGCAACACTAAAATATGACATAACTGATAGGTGATCTGCCCCTGTTACTGTTCTATTATAATCTGAAAAACTAACCTGAAAGATTCCAGCACAACTTTAAGGGTTTGCTGTACTGCTTTTCCCACCCTTCCTGTCTGTGGTTTTTGGCGAGAGGCTAGCAAAAGGAGCTCATTGATCATGTCCAAAGATGCACCTCCAATCAGCATAAGTGACACTAGCTCACAGATCTCAAGTGGTTCAGATCGGGACAGTGCAAACAGTCGAGCATAGCTTGTACCCATCTCCTGCAAGGAAATAGGCCCAGATCGCAAACTTTTTATGAAAACATGAAGGAAACCTAAAACATATTTTAAAAACACCTGTTGTCATAGAAATAAATAAATTTAAAAAATAAATCCCCACAATGTGGTAACTGTCATGCTAGAAGTTCCTATTGGCAATATGTTACCAACGCAATCATCACATTTCTGGAGAAAAAGTACCTTAATAGATTTAAAACTAAACATTCACAAATAAATGGGAAATAAATAAATAATCAAACTTGAAGATGACAGTTTTCAAAAGCCAATCAAATATCTTAGCTACATGACTTGACTTCTCTGTTAGTTGACTGAAAAAAATATTACTACAAAATCAACTGATGCATTTCAAAATGTAGATGTATATGTACTTGTAAAATGTAGTCATATTAGAATAAAGTTTGCTGGCAATTCGAACTGTAAATACTCATCTGGCTATTTTCATCACTAAATCTGAATGTTTGAACAAAATATACATGTATTAGAAGGCAACAAACCTCGTCATGTTCTGTCAATTCATAAATAAGGGGATCGGCAAGGGACTCCAGGTGTCTACAAGACTGTTCCAAATGGTTTATGACTTGCCCAAAGGAAACATTCTGCCCCAGACCACTACAATAAAAAAATGACATACATCAGTTTGAAATCAATTACTTAACATGCCTCTTCAAGGCTAAAAGAGAATAAAACCTTTTTCGATATCTTTTTTGGTCTGTACAATAATGAAGACTGCAATGTTTAGTTATAAAACTGCTATAAAAACGACCATGCCACCATATTCCCTAGCAGTGTCAGAGAAATCTGAGCCTCTTTTCAATGCAACAATACACAGTACCTTTCATCCTGGGTATCACTGATTCCCTTTTTCTTCAGGGCAGCATCTTGTTGTCGAACAAATCTCAAGGCTCTGTTCACAATTTCTACCCTGTTCTCAACTGGTATGGTGTCCACAGCTAACTCACTGAATGTTATAGAATCAACAAACTGTTGAATGCCTTGAGCCGAAAGGCGAGGTAGCTGTTTGTGACATATATCATAACGCTGAGACCAGTCAACCTGCCACAAATTAAATTAAGAACATTCAACACAGTAAAGCTAGCCTCAATCAAACCCGAATAACTCTTATTCCCTAAGAGTGATTTGTATTTAATATCTTCTAACAACATCACCCCTGAATCACACTTTAAGGTCATGATCACCAACTAGTGAAACTCATGAATGTCATACAAATTCTCCTTGTCAGCAGCTCAGGAAATTTATAGAGAACGGTATGGAGAATATGCATATTGATGTTGGGGTGTAAAGTGTTAATTAACATACATTTTGCAGTCATTTTATGGTCAGTTGACCCAAATCCAAATTTTTATTTTCAGTAGTATGTTAATGTTAGACAACTGATGGAAAAATTTGTTTACTAGGAAGATCTATTAGTAAATATAAAATTTCCGAATTGTCTGCCATATATTTTTTTCAATTTTAGGCATGAGAATTTGGTCTAGACTGAAGGAACATTATCACTTGGTTGATATAACTGTTTATTGTCAGCACCTCTCTACTTGAGCTGGATATTGTAAGGTGAGATTTCATTTTGGTCATTCACTGAAGTGAAGGATTTGAAGGATGACTCTACTCAAGGAATGAGGTTTTTTTTTGTTTTTAATTCTTAAGCACATACTGGTTGATCTGCTTCACTTTCTTTAGCCTTCTGCTCTCCTTCCCAAAAGAGTTTCTCTACATAGACTCTGTACACACTTGAAGATTCTAGAGAGCTACCATCCTGTAATAATAAGATTTCATTAATAGTGAAAGAATTAAACTTAAGCTTTTCTTGCAACAATTTCCAACACATAATGTTTCCTAGTGCTTAAGAGGAGTGAAGTGGTTAATAAAAAGAAATTATTATTTTCCAAATAAAAAAACTTAGAAAGTACATCATTGTAAGCTTAAAGTTCACGAAGTTAAATCACTTTGTCAAAGTAAATGAGTTCCCAATGGAGAGCAGAACCTTAAACAATCAGCTTTGAACATTATACATGTGAGTTTATTACTTTTATCACCAACATCTAGTTAATAGGCTATATAAGAAAGCTTAAATGAACACTACACACACATGCTCATGTAATAAACAACCAAACATTTATGCACACTCCATAATAGAGATCACATGTAAAGAGAAAAATTGGTTTAGGCAAAAGAACACTTATCAGAAGCTTAATTCCCTATTACTCCATTCTGAGGAAACAAGACTTGCCTTGGTAGGGATCTTTGTTGCTAGCTTTGCCAACAAATTAAAATTGGCTTCTGTCAGCACAGGCTTTAGCACCTGAAGAGGTGAGTCTACTGTGGTGAGTTTTTTATAATCCAGACCTGTGAAAACAAATAAATTCCTGTGGAACTGGTGTCTAGTGGGTGCAGCACTCACTCAAAGCAGGAAATGTGGTGGACTCATCAATATGGTGTGCCATAGAATGAAAGTAGCAAGTTCATGCCCTGAACAGGTCCTTGTGTTTTGTTCTAAGACACTTCAGTCTTACAGTACAAATTTCCCCCCCCCCTCCCCTACCCCCTCTTTCTTCAAACTAGGAGTATTGATAGTAACTGCAAACTGTCAGGAAGAATTGAAGGGGGGGGGGGGTAAAAATTCATCAACATGCTTAACCTCACAAGCCAAATTAGCCCTAGGAGGTCTACTTACCTTGTCATCCTAGATCCACATTTCCTGGGTTTTTATGTAAATTTTATTTTTAATTAATTACTCACATTAATCACAACACTGTGTCTACTTTCTTTAGCCAGAGAGATTATCAATGCAAAATGGCCCAATGATAAAAAGGAACATGCTTACCAGGGGCAGCAGATTTTATTTTCTTCAGTATTCTGAGATGAGTCTGAGCATCTATCTTATCCTGCAACCAGACAATGTTAATTGTTAAACAAATTCTCCTTGTTAGTACCTTGGGAAAAGTATAGAGAACAGTATGGAGAATATGCCCAATGATTTCAGCATGGAAAGGGTTAATTAAGTGAGGAATACATAATTAAAGTATTTCAACTGATCTGTGCAAAAAAAACTTCACAATCATGAAATAACTAAACTACAACAGAATGCTAAATCATTGTCATCCTCAGTTTTTTTTTTTTTTTTTTAATGTGATGCACTGACATAGTTGATAATTATTTAAAAAGATCACCTCAGTTCTGTAAAGCATTCTGTTCAGGGTTACACTATAGATATAATGTTTACAGGAAGAGACCAGCAAAAACTAAGGGAACTCTGCTAAAAAGTGGTGCCAAGCAACTTACCTTTAAGGTGTTATCTTTCTCCTCACAGTGTTCAAGCAACATATAGTAGTAAATCAACCTAGCTTGTTTGGTGCCATCAATTGTCACATACACATTCTCTTGCATTCGTTCCAGTACCTTAGAGACAAATAAGGCATTGACAAATTTAGGTTGCAAGATTTTGCTTTAATCGGCTATTCATTGGCACGCTAACATGTACTTCTCAATAACAGGTTAAAATTCAAGTGAGAATCAGCAGAAATGTAGCAGCCAAACAAATCTACAGTAACAAGAGGCTAAATTGGGATAGTCTATAAAACACTAATTTATTATAACTCTCATTTAGTACAAGTGTGGCAATTTGTCAGTTTAACTGGCTGTATTTCACTGTACAGCCCTGTTAATTTAAAAGTTTTTTTTAATTGAAATCTTCCCCCTCTTATTGAACCCAGAGGTATAAGAAATTTCCTACTAACCTGGTTTTCTCTCTCCAAACTGTAAGCTGCAGAGCCTCATTTTTTCTGCTTGGTTTTATGGCCAGTGCTCTTTTCGCACATGGGTCAAAAATCCAAGCGGAAAAAACTTATTCTGTTACTTACGGTATGGACCTAGAACTCAGTTAATAAGAGGTATGTACTCAGGCACCCTTAAAAATGACTTAACCTAATCAAATATGTGAAAAGGAACCACTGAAAGTGTCACCAAATCATCCTAATTTGTTTGCCATGAGCTGTGATTTTGCCAGCAGTGAGAGACTAGATGCCATTCTAAACATTTGAGGCTTGTTATTTATTCAAAGTCTAACCAAAACCATGGTTTTATGCAAGCAGTGAGCCTCAGCCAACCAGCCCTTGAGGTTTAGAGCCAACAATAAATGGCAATTAACAGACTTACCTTAAATTCCATGACCCACTCCCTTGAAAAACACTACTTAACGTTGAAATAAAGTCACATGTAAACAGACACTCACTTTGCTTGGATCCTGAAGTAAGGTGTTCATGATTTCAAGTTTGTTAACTCTTTCTTGAATCTCTTTTGTTGACAAGCTGAAAAAAAATTGAAGGTGCTTAGCAATACATCAACTAACTGTACTTACCAAGTTATTTAAGAAGTAACCATGTTCACAATTTGATTTCCAAAACATTCCATTTTGACATACTTGCTGTCCAAGAAGAGACTTTCCAAATGTGTCATAAACATCTCCCATTTGGACACATCATAACGTTCAGCTAAAGACATTGCAGTGCTGAAAACTTCTTCCTCAAGTGCCCTGCAAGACATAAACCCATATAATATGGATTATTTTTATGAAAGAACAAACTCAGCAATACAACTAATAAAATAACAATGTACAATAGTTTACTGGTTTACTTTCTTTTCATTACTTTTTTCTTAACTTGATTTGTGCAAAACTTCTCCTTAAAATATCACCTCTGAATCACACGTAAATAAAGGAAATGATCACTAACTAAAGAAGCTCTTGATCGGTTAACAAATTCTCTTTGTCAGCACCCAAGGATATGTACAGAGAAGAGTATGGAGAAAATGCATACTGATTTTAGAGTGTAAAGGTTTACTTTTCCTTTCTTTCGCACTAAGCTCATGATGTAGAACTGCACCAGGCACCCACTTACTGCTAAGGGTCAGTCTGGAACAACCTACTTCATGATTATTACTTCATAAACAAGTTGGGCATGTTGTAGCTTAGTTTTTCCAAAATAGTTAATCAAATTAATTCAAACTGTCTAGTATGACCCTTTGTGTGTCCTTTCCTTAACCAAGTATTTTACTATCTCATTTGTAACAAATGTCAAATATAACTTACATGGCTAATCCCAGGATGGTCTCTCGCTTATACTCTGGATCCTGTGCAAAACGACCTATGTCAACTCCTGGAAATTAAATCAAATATCTAGTAATCATTCAACAGTGGCCTAAACCAAATTGTCGATCCATTTTCTAAGGTGCAGTGCTTGCAATAAGACCTGGCACCTGCCGGAGTTCCGGCAGGTATTCTGTTGTGAGTCGCCATGTATATTTCACTGTGCTCAAGTTGCGGCCACCACACTCAAGTTGCACTCAAGTTGCTCTCCAGCAGGTGCTGTACCAAGGTAGCCACCTATTTCAAATCTTATTAAAAGCACTGAAGGTGTAAGGGGTGTGCACCCTCCCCCCCCCTGAGATGACCTGCAGCTTTCTTACAGTATATAACTTCACGGTTCTACAAAATCTGCTGTATCATTTTCTATGTATTCTCACCAGTTCACTTATGTTACTGCCGAGTCATAAACCTTCTTGTAAGTTCTTTGATTTTAAAATTTGTTTGCCTCATTCATCAGTTACCGCATTCCTTGGTGGTGCACCCCCTCCTAAGAAAAATTGTGGATCTGTCCCTGAGTCTCACTCTATTATCGGGGTTCCAGGTTGAACGTTTTTTAAAGTCACCTTAGATAACAATTCATATAATGGTGACCATGAATAAAGTTGGAATAGACAGAGGGGGGAAAATGGAAAAGAAGTCTTTGTTCAATACAACATGAGCTATTTAACCACTGACTACAATACTTGTCTTTGAATTAAGTATGGTTGTTTGGTTGGCCTTTGTATGGCTGGCAATTGACAACTTTAGAGAAACTCTCTTTAGCAGTAACGTTGCAATCTGATCGGCCAATTTGCCATAAGAGTACAGACAACGCTGCTCACACCAACATGTCATGCAATGATCACACACTGAAAAAATCATGTTATTGGACATCCATAATTATTGTGGTAAGAAACAAATTGAAAGTGGTTTAGTGTGGTCTGTACTCTTATCAACAATGATATTAATTTTGTCATCACAGAGGTCAAAATGATTTTGATGTGATGACAAAAACTGTTTTTAATAGGAGTACAGACTACACTAAACCACTCTGGCTTTGTCAAACTTCTCCGCTTACCCTGGAGACTATAATGATTTACTTGGAGCATTGATTATCTTAAGAATGACCAATGAATTAGTATTTTAACATACCCTTTCCCAAGCTCTGGAGCAGTTGTCCCTGGGTAAAGTCAGCCATATGGTTGTGATACTGGACGAGGAAATTTGCAAAATCCTGTGACTTTTTCGGCCAGTTATTGTGCAGACCAGCAGTGATGTGACTCATGACATGATCGGTAATGTCAGACGGCAAGTGATGGTAAACATCAGCTTGATGAGTTGACAGCGAAGGTTGAAGGATGCTGTAGGTGCTAACAGCAAAGCAGTATGCTGCCATGTGAAGACATAGGTAACTATTGCCAAAACTGCTGAAAAATTCATTCACTTCTGATGCCTGGAATTGAATGAAAAAGCACAGTCATTGATAATCTACTGTACATGTTGGTTATCTTTGGAGTCAAGGATGTGCTGACTGACAGTTGTGAGGTAAGTAATGTTTGGAATGAACTCAATACCTACAGCACTAACATTGCCCCTTTAACCTGTAAGAGTGTCAAGCATTTAATTTCTCCTTACAATATCACTCCTAAATCACACATTAAGGTTATACAGTAAAACTACCATCCATTAAAGAAGCTCCTGATTGTTACACAAATGCTCTATGTCAGCACCAAAGGAAATGTATAGAGAACAGTATGGAGAATATGAATACTGATCTCAGGGTGTGAAGGGTGAACTTGATGCACTAAGGTTTAATGAAAAAACAAGGTTGTTTGAAGTCAAAAACTCACCATACTGAATTTGGAAAAAAAAAACACAGAAGCCTTTAATTAAGCTAATACTCAAAGCCTAAGGGATAATTTACTTCTATCATAGGAGCTTTTAATTACTGGTGAGGTTTTCAATCTTGCTCACATAATTTAGGGCTTTAAATCACTGATTGATTGACTCACTGGGGTCTCTGACTAACCTCGTGTAGTGCCAATAAATATCCTATCCCAAGAGTAGTGTCTTCTTCTAGAATTGACTCTGCTAACTGTATTAAAACTGTAAGGAATAGTAAAAATAATTACAATAATTATAATATATCTTATTAGATGTTTTGTTGTGTAGTATTGCTGAGTATTTTTATGAGTTTTGTCATATGTTGACAAGCCCACAGGGCAAGTCAAAATACAAATAACAAGTAAAAATACTCAGCGATACCACACAACACTAATGAGATTTATTATCAAACATGCCAAATTTTTATTTCAGCGTAGGCGAATTTTGCAGATATTTCTGGAGTACAAATATTGCCTGAGATTTGTACTCATCTTGGGCATTATTTGTACCCTGCGAAGCACAGTTGAATAATAATTACAATTAAAATAATAACTTATGATAACAATAATATCAATTTGGGGTATGTTTTCTGCAAGTTACTGTACCGTGTGAATATATAACATAATTATTATCCAAGATCTGATAAAGTCTAAACTTGAAATGCACTTAAAATTGGATTTTAAAATGTTAAAAAAACAAAAACCCCTTAACAAAAATGTAAAAAAATAGAAATCACTCAATCAAAATTTCCAGTAATATCCATTTGGATCTAATAAGAGTAGAAATAAACCAAAAACAGCAAGATAAGGGAATAAAGGTTTTCTTGTCGTCAGTTTGTAATGAACAGCTGGACATACCTTCATCAGTAGGCTCAACAATCTCTCCTTCACATCTACTCTCAGACAGCTTCTGTGTCCTTAGTAAACAACGACTGAAAAGCAGAGGCTTGTTTGCCATCTGCTTTGCAATGTGTTCTTCATATGGTAATTTATCCTGGAAAAAAATCAGGCAATATTACATACCAAACGCACTTATCTAATGACACGATTGATCTCATTGTTTGTTGCCTTTGCATATCACACTCAGCTTTTTTTTTTTTCATGTGTGTCAGATATCAGTTAGGGGATTATTGTTTGATCCAATACCAAATTCTCTAAGCTAACATCATAAGAATTGTATGGCAGACAGTAATAAGAGTTATGAAAAAGATCTTGGGAGTGAAAGGAATAATACCCTAGCTTGTAGCTTGTAATCCTTCACCAAGTCCCCCATGTTTGAATGAGGGTTGTAGTGCCCCTACACCTCCCCCCTCCCCCCATTTTTCCTGCTGTTAAGTGTTTTACCAAGAACACAACACAATGATTTGGCCAGGGTTCGTACCTGACCCTAAGTCTGGTGCAGTAATAGCTCAACCACCATATCTTTCAAAATGTAACTGTGAAGTATAAACTGCTTTACTACACTAACCTCTTTCATTCTTGTCAAATTTCTTTCCACCAGTGACTGATAAAAAGGGTGAAATCGGTGTGTGTTTATGGCCTGTGAGGTTGGTTTGATTAGTTCACTGTTGGATAATGTCATCTGATCATCCTGAAGCGGTCTGATCCATTTCATAGTGCTCTTCCAAAATTTATTGTGGCCTACAGCTGACAGCAAGGATTTAGATTGTGTCAAGAGACTCTGATCTGAAGAAGATTCCATTCCCTGAAAAAAAAAAAAAAAAAAAAGAACATCATGATAACCTATAGTCTGTAAAAAATTATATATTACCAAGCTGAATTATTATGCATGCATTTTTATTAGTTGTTACTTATAATCTATTGGAGGACTCTATACCTGATCTGTCACTTGCATGTGCTGATTCAAATCTTGATACAAAATCTGTCAGGCAAGAGAAGGAGCAATTAACTGTTTATAACAAGGAGAAAAGCAAACTGTCTCCATGCTGCTAACAGTGGTCTGTTTCAAGACTATAAGTACAGTTGACTGAAAACAACTCTTCACTTGACTCTGATGATGACTTCAGCTCAGGTTGTCAAAATGTCAGTCACTACTACCAACAACAGTCCTTCTCAGGGCTACACTCAACTGGATAATCAGACTGCATGATCACAACTAAAATTAATTTTTGTTTTGAAGTATAATTATACGTTCTCATCAATAGATAAAGCAACAAACTGTTAATATTACCTGTGTCTCTAGCAGACTTCTGGATTTAAGGAGAGACTCCAATTCATCTGGTAAGCAGTGAGTAAGGGCAAACGCTAAAAGGCTTTGCCTTGAGCAAATACAAAAACAGAAAAAAATAATATCGGTATTGAAAAAATTCTTTATTCTATTTCTCATAAAAACAGAGGAGGTCAGGGCAAAAACATTTCTCTTCAAACTTGTATGAAGGCAAAAACTTCTACACCTGACTTGGGTGGTATTTTCCAGCCAAACATTAAAAAAAAAAAAAAATCACAATAAAGAAATATACAGCATCATATAAATGAATGTGACAAGTCTGTAAGTAAAATTTTGACAGAAGTAGTCAAATCAGAACTCAACATCAACAAAAGAAACTAGACTACCTTAACATGAATTTAAAAATGACCCTCACATGTTGCTTATCAAAATTGATATATTGCTAATACAGACCTTCACCTTTCCACTTTCCATGGTACAACATAATTTTCTGACTGGAAATTATCAATCAACAGTATCAAAACTAAATCCTTTCTAGTCAGATGTTCAGCATGTTCTCCTGTCCTTCTTTTAATTTTTTTTTTTGTTGTTGTTGTTTTCCTACTAATAATACCAACCTTGCTTTGAGGTCTTTAAACTCTTCACACTCTCCAAGAATCCTGATACATACAAAAAGATACTCCTTAAAAAAAATAGAGTCTGTGAAATTTACTCCTTAAGATTGCATGATAATACACTGTACAATGAAGCATACATGGAGTGTGGCTAGAAAACACAACTCTGTTTTCAAACTGAAATTCTGCATGTGTCACTGTGTCGAATCCTATAGAATGCTACCATGATTGTTTCTATTATATGCATGATCCCCTTGGGATTCATGCAAACAAAAGATCTATTGTCTATAAAGACAATAGTGGTAACTGTATAACACCATTTGAGCTGACGTTGTGCCTCCTTACTTGACATGTAGTTATTTACAATTTTTAAAACTTTCCATTTTTGTTTCCCAATTTACCAAAACTTCGTGATATACAACATTTTCATCATTTTCGCCAAAAAGAAATATCAATAAATTCAATTTGGTTTTGACTGGAAAGTGTTAGTCACCAACAGCTTTAAAAGAGGTACATTTACCTGCAGATGGTCCATACAGAGCTGTAGTCCGTGGTCATTAGATTCTGGCATATTGCACATGCAAAGGAGTAGTGAAGGGCCTGAATGGCAGACTCAGCAGTCAACATGAGCACACGGCCATACCGCAATTTTTCATCTGAGCCTGAGATCTGAAGGAGGCTTGCTAAATGTAAAATCTGGTACAGAAGGGAAATTTAATAAGATTAACAAAAAAAAGTGTTTCTATTCAGTGAAATTTAAAGTGTATTATTGGCTTATCAGAGGCTAAAAAAAAAATACCTTTTGCTTCTTTTTATAGGCTAAGGTTGATGATTGTAACACTTGTCTGATCAGAGTGAGTTTATCTTCACACAAACGCACTGCAAAATAAAGTGAAAAGGCAAGGAGGTTGTTTAAGTTCCAATATCCTGCCTTTACTCCACTACAAACCAATATACATTTTTCATTTCATGCCAAATTAGAAAAGAGAAGCTGGTGTTATCCTAATGGTAAGATAAAAACCTGTACTCATTTATGATTTATGATTTAGATTTATTTAGCTTCGCCAACTGGCAGGGACACCGCAACAGCTTGCGCCAATTACTGCAGG